CTGCTGCTGCTGCTGCTGCCCAGTCATGGCCCTGGGAGCTCTGGAATCCCTGCTCTGCACTCGTGGGCTTCACGTTTCCCTCTGGGTGTCCTGGGATTGCTGAAACCCCTCTTAGTGCTTTCCCACACGTTCAGGTGGAGCTCAGTGGGGATTTGTGGTTCCTGGGAACTTTGCCCTGTGAGTGGCTGAAATGCTGGTTCACATCAAAGCCCCTGCCCACCTGCCTTAGGAGCAAAACTTGTCATTGTTTTGGTCTCTTTTTATCCTTTATTTAATTCTTTGTCCTTTTATTCTTCCCAAACCTTATGTGCCAGTAGCTGATCCCTGCCTGTGTGCAGTGGATAGAAGCTGCTGCCTGGCTGGTTTGCCATGGGTGGCTGTCCTCCAGCAGGCCCCTGGGAGGACACTGGGACCCTTGGGTCCCTGGGACCCTTTTCCTCCCTTCCCAGGTCTGTTAAGCTCAGTGTTCCTTGGCCACGACCTCATCCATCATTGCCATCAGTGCTGAGGGGGACATGGAGCTCTGCAGCTGCTCCTGACTAAATCTGCACTCATGGTTTTTGTGCAATAACCACACAATAAATTAAAGATCCCACCACAACGGGGCTGCATCCACTTGCAGCCCAAGCTGCTCCCGGTGCCCCATGCCCCACTCTGGGGTGGTTCTGGGTTGGTGAGGCTTTGGCTGCCAGGGGCTGGGGCAGCTCTTCAGTGTCACTGGAGGATCCCAAGCCCTTTACAAGTGACAGGCAGAGAAATTGGTGGATCTGGGGCAGCTGGTCCCTGTGCCACCACTGTGTGGCACAGCAGCTCTGACACACATCTGTGGTGCTGCCACTGCTGCCACCCAGGGCCAGGGTTTCTGTTTCTCCATCGGGACCACTGTTGCAGTGAGGGAATAGCTATGTTCTGCTATTCTGTAACAAAATGCTGTATTTTTCTTTCCAAACAGGTGGTAGAAATTTCCTTTAACTTCTGGTATAGACTGGGGGAGCACCTGTACAAGACGGACGATGCTGTGATCCACAGCATCTTCAAGGCCTACATCCAGCGCCTGCTGCACGCGCTGGCCCGGCACTGCCAGCTTGACTCCGACCACGTAAGGGCCTGTGCAGTGGCCAGGGGGTGGGTGTGGGTGTGTGTGAGTGTGTGTGTGTTTGTCTGTGTCCCTGTGGAATGGGCTGGGATGTGTGTGTGTGTCCCTGGGGAGCTGCTGGGGTGTGTGTGTGTCCCTGTAGAGGCAGTGGGATGTGTGAATCCCTGTGCAAGCACTGGGATGTGTGTGTGT